TTCCCCATTGTCACGGATGTTGACCAACAAAGCAATACAAAAGACTCCTCTTGAATTAGTAGCGAGTAATCACACTGGAAAAAGTTACTGTCTCCCCTACTCGATTGAATTGTTGAAACCGGTCACGAAATGAGTTGGATCGGTTTGTTGCACTTCGTTTTGCACTTCCAACTCAAATCCAACAGAAGTCTTTGAACATTTCTTTCCGAGACGCCGAGGGGGCGACTCGTCGCCGGCTGACAGTCCGAAGGATTGCTCAGGGCTCAGAGTCCGGAGAGGTGGGTCCTTGGTCGACGGGGCCCGGTCGGTCGGTCGGACCAATGCAGCCGAAAAGGTGAAGCTGAAGTGTCACATGCAAAGCAAAGATCAAGTACAGCAAAGCAAAGACCAACTGGACAGTGTTATCTTGTTGGTAGACTTGTCTAGCTTCAAAAGGCATACGTAGAAGCAGGATATCGCAGGTACGTTTTCGGCACTGAAATCTCACCTGGGTGTTCACATCAAAAAAACACCGACGAGCATCAGTATCAATTAGCTTCGACCCTTCTACACAGGACAAAGCACAAGGAGAGCCTGATGGTTTCATTCACCTCAACATGGAAAAGATTGGACAAGTACAGTAAATCCTCAACATGGTGATGCCTTGGCCCTGAACATCACGGACCAGTATAGGGTATATAGAGTAGTGCGACAACGCGGAGCAGACCGTCTGAGTTGGTGACCGTGCGATGTGCTGGCAAATCAAAGCGCATCTCCGGAAGATTCGGGCTAAAAACACTGACATGGCTACGCCAATCAGACCTCGAGAGAGAGTGGAAAGCCCCAGCTGGTTTGGGATTCAGGTCCAGGGAGCCCTCAGACCCATGTCTTTGCCGTGCGGCGACCAGCATGATCCGCGGAATCCGCGTCTGGCGCCTCCGATGAGGGGTGACTGGGTGAGGTGTTCACCCGAAAAGCCATGAAAACAAGATGGTGAAGGTTGGGGCCTGGCTGTTTCAACCATGAAAAGCAACTTCAACAGTTGTCCTTCAACTGGCTGATCATCGCAGCTAGCAAAAGGTAGCGAAGGTTAAATACCAGTGAGAACCACATTAGTAGAACAGCACAATATTTCACAAAGTCTGTGACCTCCTCCGAAGGTAAAGTATGCTTAGAAGTGTTATATTTGTATATATTGTATATATGGTCAAGCAGTACTCCTTTGCAGTGCTCGTCAAGCAGCACTCCATTGCAGTACTCCGTTGCCAGTTCAACGTTACGCCCATGGTGGTAGTTGAAAAGTAGAAGCTTCTACAGGCTCCTGTCCACCCCCTGAACATGGAGTTGACACAGAACCGAAAATGTTAACAAAAAAAAGCCGTACGAGGGAACTTCAAGAAAAGTCCCAAAAGCACCAGGAGCCCAAAAGAACCCACCAGCGGCCTTTGTTGCCTATCGACAGCCTCGCAGGTACTAAAATAATGCAAAAGAAACATGCAATGGCATTCTTGTCCTCCAGCCAGTCTCCAGCAGAACATCCCTGAAACTGATCCACCGCTAAGTTCACATGGCAGCCTCCTCCGACTGCTTCGCCTTCTCAGCCTTGCCTCAGGGCCAAGCATCCCTGTGCCACCGAGGAGAAAGCCAAACCATGAAGTAGGTGGCTTTATCGGCTGGTGACCTACCACATGAACACCAGTTGGAAGTAGTTGGGAAGCACCAAAAAAGGAAATTTGGGGCTGCCGATATATTATAGATGATTTTAGATGTCTGTCCGTCTTGGAATGGCCATTTAACAGTCAATTACACACTTACTTTCGAGTGTTGCGGTAAATATACATTCAGAAGGACTAAAAAGACGTCCAACATTGTGGAGCTTAAAATGCTTAAACAACTGTGTGTCCGCAATCGTTCATACATTTGGTGAGGTTGGTATTCAATCCTCAATCCTTTGATTTTTTTTAGTCACTTTAGTCGTTTGCCCCCAATCAGCCTGAATTATAGTCGCTTGGCGGCTGCTCCGTCCAAAAAACGCTCGACAAAACGTGACGTTTGCCTTCTTTGGCGCTTGGAGATCCACTTATATCCACTTCCTGTGGTCTAGACAGAGTCAATAGAAGAAAAATATACCTCGGCTTCATCATCTGAACTTCTCTCTTTGGGCCATGTGGCTCTTCCTCTTGCCTTTCATCCGACCCTTTCCTTCAGCCTCACCAAGAAACACGCGACCCGTCATGCGACTGCATCATACTGGTTTCACAGCTTTTCAAGGGACATGAATCCCTTGAGCTTTTGAACATGATACACAATCACATACACAGTCTGTAGCTAAGCTGTTGTAGGATGAATCTATATATATATATATTGAAAGTAAGAGGAACAGGAACAAACATAAGAATAGGATTGCTAATCAGGCATGGTTACATGTTTGCTTGGTTTGCAGATGCTATCTGAAGAACAAAAGTATTTCAAGATCAAGCTGAAGACATCATCACTTCCCAGAAGTCCTCTCAGATTTCCACCTCGGAGCCACTAGAGTAATTACACAAGTCCGTTCAGAACTGCTGCCTCACCACCTTCGCCCACTACATTGGCTTCCTTGGCCAATTGCCTGGCACGCAGTGCACCGCGGCGCGATGAAACACCAGACCGACCCGGTTGGTGCAGATAAAAGGACTGGAGAAGTGTGGGTTGGCTGCGGTCTGGAGGGACTGTGCTTTTGAAGGGATTCCTTCCTGGAACTCGACTGGAGCCCAACGGCCTCCCACCGGTGCCCCAAAAACAGAAGGGTGCGGGTGCCCAGTGTTTCGAAGTTTTGAGTAATCAACCCAAAGAGCTTCAACGACCCTCCGTTTCGCTGGTGGTTGGCGTGGGATTCGGGAATTTTTCCTGAGGACGTGGTTAGGGTCAAGTCGCTTTTTCTTTCCACCTTTCCACCAATACGATGCCCACAAACTTTCTCTGCAACAAACATTCTCTGCGGGGCAGCACGTTTTTGAGTAAATCATAGTAAATCAGTAAAGCAACATTTTACCATCACCGCGCAGATTGGGTACACCGCATCGCCTCTTCACTAAACCAGCATAGATGTGGTCATTCCGCAGGAGCTCCTGACTCGCCGTCGGCTCGTTTGGAGTCCTAAGGCTCCACGGTTCCCACCGTCACAGTGGAAGCTTAAATTGAAATTGAGTGGCACTTTCCGCTCGAAGGTTTCATCGGTTCTTCCAAAAATCCCTCGGCTTGCCCCACACCTCGAGGTTCCAAGGTTTTGTTCTGGTTCTCAAGGAGTCCAGATTGCAGCTCCCATGTTCGGTCTGAATAGTGGGTCCCACAGCTCTGCATGGGCTTCTGAACTTTGCATTGAGAACATCAAGGTCATCAAGTCCTTATAGGGATCCAAGTACCTTGTAGGTTTGGAGGGTCCAATCAAGTGCTTAGTGTTCAGAAGATTTCAGATGTGCTTTTAAAGCCCAGAAAGTTCTCACTTCCTAAGGATCCAAGTAGCTTCTCAGAAGGTACTTGGGGTGAAGTGTCTCACCCCATCTCACAGCCCAGTCTTACTTCGCCCATCGGCACATGCGTGGTCACTCAGCCCCTTTCGATCACTTCCAATGACGACATGGGACCGACGTGACTTTTGGTTTCAAAACATCAATTGAATTGTTGGCATGGCCGGGGAGCTAGGGTAAATGGGCTCTAAGCCTTATGCAGAATGCTAAAAGGGAGCTGGGACTCCTAGAGAAAAACACTCAACACATACGTGATGCTTGCTGCCGAAAGACTGTGTCCAGACTGGCTTAAGGGAGATAGCGAGACACCACGCTATGGACAGGACGAACCAGAAGGCTGAGATTGGTTCTGGTGCTCTCAAAATCCCCAGCTCATATATAAGCATTCTGAAGTGTTGGGCTACGTCGTGTTCGACGGTTAACAGGGGACCCAGCAAAAGCGAGGTCCGTATGCAGAAACTCCACTGCTACAGGCTCTAGAGAAGGTTACATATGTAAGCAAATTGCAAAAACGATACTGCTGTTACTGCTACTATATAAAAAAGAATCTGATCTCATGCAATACCCCATAATTAGGGCTCCAGCAACATCCTCATTGGAATTCGACACACCCCACCCCCTCATATCAGGCAGTTGACCTCAGGTCGATCCAGGATGTATCCTGCTTTCAAGTCTACAGAGCTCTACAGAGGTCTATGTGTCAGGGCCCGTGTCCGCCGTGGAGCTGTCCGGACGACGACCACAAGGGGGCGTGTGGGACGAGAAAAAACACGCCGCCGTCCCTCCTCGTGAGTTCCTTCCTCGGCCACGAGGCCACTGTCCATGACCACAATCTTATCAGCTCCTGACCACTTACCACGAGTAGTCACAGGAAGTCGTCCAAGATCAGTGGAGACTGTCTGACAGAACGTTCGGAAGTGTGGAGACGACTCGACAATTTGACAAGACAGGTCCCCCTCCGACAGGTTCTTGAGTCGTCGTTTCAGGGGGAAGGTGTTCCTCACATCGGTCCCAGCTTCACAAAGCTGTATATTATAGCCCCAGGTGCTCAGCTTGTCATGCCCTCAGTGGCCTTGCTCACCTGTCTCAATGCGTCCCTCTGCGCTAGAGTCTTCACACGTCGCAGGAAATTCCACTTCCAAACTTCCAAACCCCGTGAACCGGCACTTCCTCCGCCCCTGGCATGCCCCTGCGCTAGAGGAAGGTCGAGACGACCCTGACGCACATGGCCCTTGAAAACCAGTGAACGGTGGTTTGCAAAGGAACAAACCTCTTCCAACAATGTCTTTTCGGGTTCGCTGGCTATGGTCGGGTCATCATACATGGAGAAATTCATAAACCGCCCCTTCCTAGCTGCATAATCGTTCACATCCTTAGGAGTGCAAGGGTGTTGATCATCAAAACAACATGATCAACATGGATCCCTTCACCCTAGAGCTTCACCATGTTGTATGCAGAAACTGGTTGGGTGCTGGTTGGGGTCGTCCGTTCTGTACTTCAGAGACCAGTTCTTCATGCATCCAGCGACCAGTTCCGACGATGCCCTCCTATCACTGTGGACAGGCGATGTGCGATGAGCACCACTGAGCAGTTGCCATGAACCGAGTGCACCAAGTCATCCAAGGCTTTCTGCACTTTCCCCTCGTTCTCCGCATCCTTGGTGGGATCCGCTTGGAGATGCTGGGAATCTCGGACTGAGTGGAACGAAGTAGTGAATCTGGATCCAAAGCACCAGTCAATTATAACCCCTCGAATTCCTGGCGTATGTAGGGGTGGTTGATTTTTTAAGGAAAATGTGCCACAGAATCAACCACCCCAGGTTCGCCAATCTGAAAAGCTTTACAAAATCAAACCCCCCAGGACGCAGGCAAGGGACAACTCTCCAGCCGATATTACAAAATCAACTGCCCCAGTCTCAAGATACAGTCTTTACAAAATCATAGGCACTCTGTTGACATGGCTCGGTACAATTACAAAATCAACCCCCCTGAGGCCTCAAACAAGATACAAAATCTCAATCATTAAACCTGGATTGGACAAAATAACGATTTTGTAGTGATGCGGCGCGACCTCATCGATAAAACGATACGATACGATACGATTCGTCTCACAGCCCTCACGGTTCGTCATCACGTTTCCTTTCTTATCTTTTTTTCATGTTCTTGCAGTGTCCCGCAGATCACTTGCACGAACCTACCCTACCTCGCATGCCAGCAACTGCAAGAGATGTGTGCGGGTTCCAGGGTTGCGTTGGGAGTTGTTTGCACAGACCTTTGGTCGCCAGATGCTTTCTAATTTCCTTCAAAACGGCCCCCCGATCCAGGGGCCGTTTTGTGGTGCAGAATCCTGGGAAAACAATAGGTTCTAGATACGACTTTTGAGGGATGGCGACGTCGCAATGAGGTGTCAGAGGAGGACGGGATCGCGACAAATGATCTTTCATATATGGCCACGGGCTTTGAGGTTCATCTATTTTGTTTACAAAATCAGAGGCACCAAGAGAGCGCCCAGGGGCACTTATACAGAATCATGCTTCCCAGTCTCGGTGTCCTTATCGCACGTGGGGATAAAGCAAAATATAGCTATGCTGTGTGGTACGAACTATGATATGTACAAACTTGTAAAGAAAGGTCTGCCTTTTAAAGAGTTTGCGGTGATTTGTTTTGATGGGAGGTGCAGGAACCCCAGCGTCCAAGAAGGCGCAGAAGGCGAAGAGTCTTCAAGCAGCAGGCAAGTGAAGCGCGGATGTATTTGTTTTCTTGTGAGTACACGTTGTTTCTGCTCTTTTGTTCCAAAGCACCTCGGACTCCCCAAATCAACTTGGAGGAACTCCAGAAAAGGTGACAAGAAAAGTCAATACATGCTGGTCAGCATTGGATGCAGCCCTGGTACGCTTCGACTTCCTAATGCACTACTCAGACCAACCTGCACGCCCAACTGCTGAGACCACACCTCCCTCTACACCAATACGAAAAGGAGGTGGGCTCTACGTGCAACGTGTGTTCTTTTCTTGTTCATGAACAGGTGGATTGAATGTGTAAAACCGTGTAAACCATGTAAAACACATTTGCACGGATCCACCAAACATCACCAAGCCCTTGCATGATTATTTACCAAGAAGGCATCAACGACCCAGAAAGGGAACAAGTTTAACATCATTTGAGCACCTTTGAGCATGAGCCAGTGCCTCCCAATTCACTGGTTCAAACATCAACTCAGCAGCGAGACTCAACGAGGCTCTTGGGATGCCTGGTGTGCGTGTGTGTGTGTGTGTGTTCTAATATATCCTATGAAATCCTATGATATATCATGAAAATTTTTGCGAATTATTAAGAATTTATAAGACATTATAAGACCATGTTCTACAGCAGCTCAACCCACTACAAAATCAACTGTCCATGCTTTACAGCAGGTCAATCGATTACAGAATCGACTGTCCATGACAACCACCCCACCCTCAAACTTGCATAGAATCAAGGACCCCACCCTCACCAGTGCGGCACTTTTGACATCCATACCAACATATCGATTCCTTACAAAATCAACAGCCCCAAGAAAGAATGCTGCCCTTACAAAATCAACCTCCGCACCCCCACAAAAACGGGTACCTGGAAGCAAACTTGTTTCTTTACAATATCGAAGCTCTTTTTGTTACCCAGGGAGGTTGATTTTTTAAAGGAAATTTCAACGGGTATAGTCAATTGGTGGAGTGCAAAGTGCAAGCGTTCCAGTGTTCCACCAAAGCGCATGGAGTGCTGCTGATCTCTTGTTTGTTGCTGTGAAGTGGGTGATAAAGGCCTCTTGACGTGCTTGAGGTCGTTGTTCCTACTCCAGCTGAGTCGAGTCTTCTAAACGAATGTCAATCAAATTTGTGAAAACCTAAGCAAGATCAGCCGTGCCTCGAAGGGATCCTCAAAATTGACTTCTTTATCTATCCAACAATTGACAAAGCCACCTTGCACAATGACACCCAAACAGATAGAGAAGGCAAGAAAGGAAAAATCTATTCAAACAAATCTGTGGATTCCGTTTCGGACGCCCATCCAGAAATTCCTGCAACCCCGCCGAGTTGCCAGCGCCGAAGTGGCCTCGGGCGAGGCTGAGACGATGTGAGGCCAAAGAACTTCCCCTCCAATGACAAGACTAAGAGCACATAAGCAATGGCCTCCATCCCAATAGCAAAAGGAACCTAATAGCTATGGCCCGGCCTCAAATCTACTATAGAGAAATATAGAAGTGCAACGAATGTGCAACGAATGTGCAACGAAGGCGGATCTTCCATCTGACATGGAGACCCAGTTCACTAAAACCAATTGTTCTGGCCCGAACAGTCTGAACTGCACTGGTTTCAATCATTCTTCGCATGATCTGTTTTCTTCAATAGTCAATTGGCTGTGGGTCATGCCCCACCCAACAATGAATACCAATGGGCCATTGAGTCTATCTCTCTTCTTCTTCTTCTTCCAAAGGGTCGCATACGGTGGAAGTGGTCGGTTTTGCTGGTGAACATGCATGCCCTGTTCAATGCTCGTTTGGTCGACAGGCGTCTTCGCCTCGTCCAGTAGCAGCAGCTTGGGACGCCGGAGCAAGGCCCGGGCGATCGCCACGCGCTGCCGTTGCCCGCCGCTCAGGCGGGTGCCACCCTCGCCTGGGCGGGGCGTTGAGCGAGGGGTGGAGCTGGAGTTCTCGGAGTCTGTATACGTTTGGGGCATTTGTATGGGATTCAGGATTTTTGAGATCACTGGCAAGCGATTTGGTGGGCTGGACCGTGGCCTACACACTGGGCACACTGGCGCTTGCCGCGCCACGGAGGCATCAAAAGGACATCAATTGGTATTAGTGGGGGTGGTATTAGCGGGTCGAATCTCGCAGGTGTCTCAAACAAAATATACTTGTTCTTCATGTGTCGTCTATACTCTTTCTGACATCTTTCGACTCCAACAGCGCCCAATTGACATCAATTGACCAACAGGCCCGCTCGGGATCCCCCGCGCGAGCGAACACGCGGCGGCAAACCGACCGATCGCTCGATCGCTCTTCTGATCGCGGCTCGCACATCGCAGGTCTCGCGATCGCTCGGTCCACCACACCACTCCAGGGTACCGATCATGGAGTTGTACTTCTCATCCAATTGTTGAATGAAATCGTTGGCAGATGCCGCTTCTGCCGCTTTCTCAATCTCTTCCATGGAGGGCACATCGCCTGCCGTGGAAGGTGGTTTGAAAGTGGAGTCGAAGGTCAATGATTCCTTGATGAGAGGAGATGTGCCACTTGCATTTGATGGGCTTGAGCCTAGGAGTCAAGTCCGCAACCCATGCTCTGGCATTGTTGGATTCAATTGCAGAATCAATCAACCAGCAAATACATCATCCTGGTGTGTGTGTGTGTGTGTCAACCCCTGTTCCTAAGGGTTTTGGTTTCTTGCATACG